TCTTCTTCTTCCCTTTCCTTCCTTCCTTCCTTCCTTCCTTCCTTCCTTCCTTCCTTCTCTCTCTCTTCCTTCCTTCCTTCCTTCTTTCTCTCTCTCTCTTTTTTTTCTTTCTGCACAACCTGTTTCAAATTTCTTACTGTTCTCTCTGGTGGGTGGATGTTTTGGGGTTGGGCACAAGCTTATTTTAGTCTCTTATCTTGGGGAATTGCCTCCTTCAGTTCATCTGTATTGTTCATAAAAGTCCCATATCAACCCCTTCCAAGGCTGAGTTCCGCTGTTCTGGGAGTTTGTGGAAACAAACTACCCAGGATGGGCTGATGGTGGCACAGCTGTGCTTGAAGGAAATAGATTTGCTCGCTGGCCTGGCAGTATGGACACTGGCTGGTAAGATGCATTCATAGTGGAGACATGTTGGGCAGGTTTCATAATTTGCCCTAAGAGAATATCTGACAGTGTTCAAAATTAGGCAAATGAAATGCTCCCAAATACAAGGAGCTAAAATAAATGCATTTTTTCTTAACATGGCACAGAAAACCAGACCTCTGTGAAGGAAGTGGAACAATGCCCCTATACAGCAGTGGTGATTCTGAATCTGAGTGTCCGCTGCGGTCTGGAGAAGCCCTGGCCCATCCGAGGAGCCTGAGGCTGCTGCCTGCTTTGGCTTAAGGCAGCGACCTCTCTGGGAAGGGTGGGTATGACCAGCCGGCTCGCAGCACCATCGCTGGGGTCCGCGATTTTGGTGATTTGTCCTGTGGCACCCGCTCATGTAAAAGTCATCCTTGCTGAACGTTTTCCTCAGTAGTAGAATGTTTAGTTTAAGTTAGGAATGACAGTGCCCCTTCTCCATCTCCCTACTCTGTAGCACAATGACAGAAGACTTCTTTGTGATTCCTCACCAAAGACTCAGGGCGTCACTGTACAATGAAGAAGGCCGTGTGGTCAGGCTCGGTGGTTCTCAAAGTGTGGTCCCCGGCAGGAGCAACCGCAGCACCTCAGAACTTGTTAGAGGCACAAGTTATTGGGCCTCACCCCAGACATACTGAATCACAAATTCTGGGCTTGGGGTCCAGTATTCTGTGTTTAACATCCTTCCTGGGGATTCTGACTCACGCTCGGATAGATCTGAGGACCCTGATACAGAGGAGGGCACGTAGAACGGGAGGGCAGAAGAACCAGGCTGGAGTCTGTCTCTCTAGCTTCTTAAGGTGACTGGGGACAAACCCTCACCCTCCTTGAACCCCGATTTCTCCAGCTCTGGGGCTAATTTTACCCACCCTGCCCCCGACAGCAGGACTGAGGACACCAACGAGGAACTTGAGGTGCTGTTTTTGTTGTCATCAGTAATAATTTGAATACTGGTCAACGAAACACCAATCCCTCTGTTTCAAGATTATGAACAAAAATCCTATTGCCAGCAGGACACCGTTAAATATGCTATTTTTCTTTATCAGTACAGGACGTACTGGTGGCCGTTCAGTAGGCGTTTTGGAGCGTTTAAGTACTTAACTCTTAAAATAATGTCTGTGACCCGCTAACCCCAAACATAAAAACCAAGTATTGCCCAACTAGAAGGGGACCAAATTGCCAACTCTTTTGAACCCTAATTTCCCACTATTGGTTGTTTCTTCTAGGAGTCCTTAAGCTTGAGAATTCATTGAAATTGAGACTCGGGTGGCAGGTAGTCATGCGGGGAGTGTCACAGCTGAGTGGACCCTGGACTGCCTTTCTGCTGAGACAGGGAAAGCCTGGCTCACAGCTCTTGCCCTGGCCACCCTCTTGCTCGGCCGTGCCTCCAGGGCTGTTGCTTTATTTTCAGATCTCTTGTCTTTCACCTTGGCCCAGAGATCCCTCTGAAACTGGTTTCCCTTGGGGAATCACTTCTTCTCTAGAATGAATCTCTATCCATCCTCCTCTGCAAAGCCTAAGGTCCAGCTTTGACACCAAAACTAAATGGACTCCAGGACATCCCTCCTGGTTAAAATTTTCAAGCTGGCCTGATACTGAGAGGCTGTGAGGTGACTTTTGACCCAGGAAAGTTCCAAAAACAAAAGCCACCAGGGACAGCCGAACGTGCTCCCACGGGCAGAGAATCCAGATCACAGATACTGTTTACAAGGTCGTCTCCAGAACCACCGAACTAGAAGGGGACCAAACTGCCAGCTCTTTTGAAAGGTTAGGATGGTCTTACGTCACTGAATTCCCAAGAGGGAAAGCTGCAGGTAGGGTCAAAGCTTACTCCAATCAGAGTCCCAAATAAGTCAAATGCTTTATCTCTTCTCCCAAGTCACTGGAGTATTATAATGATTCCGGGGGGATTTTTTTAGGTTAAAAAATTTTCTCTTTGGTGGACATTAAAAAAAGTTTCTTGGTATTAGGATGGAGTTGCCTGCCCAGTTGCCCCCTTCCCTTTGCTGGACCAGCTCAGGAAATGATGACGGTGCAGAGCTCTGGCCGTGGGGCTCAGCTCTGTCAGGAGCCTGCCTGTAAGGTGTCCCCTGTGCTGACAAGTGGCTCAGAGCTTGTCCTCCATCCAGACTTGGTCTCAGCACATTCGCCTGGGACACTATGGCCTTGATGTTTCACACTGAGGTGGAGCTGAGAACATTCTGGGGCATCCTGGGAAGAAGGCGGTGCTCACCCTCACGGCAGGGAGGCCATCTCAGTGCATTGATTCTAATGTTCTTAAATGCTCAGAATAGGCTGGGGTAAAAAGAATGTGCCTCTTGGAACCATTATGGACTGTCCTTGAAGTCTAGATTGCAAGCAGTCCTTTGGAATCCATTGCAGCCGCACTGTGGGATGCCAGGACCCCTGGGCCACACCAGGGTGCTCCTTCACTGCCAGCAGTAGCGGGATTCCCTGGAGACAGAGACTGATGTAGAACAGGAGGATTCTGGTGATGAGCTTCTCTTAATCTATGGAAACTAAAGACCCCTCTTACACTCCTGGATGCAAAACTAGGGTCCTGTCACATCCTGGCAATGTCTGTAAGAGCTTGAGATGGTTGGCTCCCTGTACGTGATATTTGCTAAAAGAAAACACATCGGTTTCCATGATCAGCGTCGGCATTTCCATTTTCCTTTCTGTCTGGCAGGCACGTGGACCTCTGAATAGCTTGGGGCCACCCCCAGGGACCTCCTGTCTGGAGCTCATGCTCCTGTGTCTGTATTCACCGGCTTCTCTGCTTTTAGCAAAACACCAGCACTGTGTCCTCCCCCTTCCTCCCTTAGAAATAGTCCTGTACCAGTCATTCCACCTGCTACAAGGGAGTTTCTTTTCTTTTCAAAGATGCTGCCCTGCTGGGTGGCAAGAACTCTTCAGGAACAGCACATTTCCCTTCTGTGTTTACTTTCATCTGTTCACTGCGATCAAACAAACAGCTTCCAGGTTTATCTTTTCAGTACAACTTTCCGGACGTACGGCGGAAATCTACAGCACCTGCAGAAGCCAGTCCTGGTAACAGTGATCAGGAGTCAACGGTTATAAAGAATGTCAGTCTTTCTGGGATGATTGCCATGGGGAAGGAAAAGCATGAAGTGGTCGATCAATAAAGGAGCAGAGGCTGTGCCCTTTTGCTTTTATGGTTCCTGTAGAACCACAAGGAAAACGAGCCTTCTACGAATATTTGCTAAATAAAACATACACACAAACACAGATCGATTCGTTAAGTATCTACTGGCCGAGGCCCCTCACATGTGAATGTGCACACGAATCACCCAGACAGCTTGATAAAATGCCTCTCTGATGGAGAAGACCCTGAAAGGGTTAGGGTTAGGGTTAGGGGTCAGTGAAACATCTCTTCTGAGTTTCTAACAAGCCCCCAGGTGATTTGGTCGCTGCTGGTTCCACCACTAGCCTGGGCAGCGAGGCACAGCGCGATGCCTTCTATTCTGTAGTTCACGCTGAGCTCGGTGTGTCCGTCTTATTGGTAATTGCCGTGGATAATAAATGCTCTCTTCCGAATGAGGACTAGCTGGGTTACAGGAGCTACTTAATCCATGTTTAGTAATTACACAACTTGTCTAGTAACCAGCATCTTACATTTGTGAATTTGGGGCTTTCTTTCAGGTTTTGCATCCCAGTAGAAAACTTGCTTTCTACCAACAGATAAAGCACATGGTTGTGGTGAAATCAAAGACTGTTGTCAAATTTGAGGCTGCTCTGATGACTGCCACTGACCACGTGTACACTGTGTCACATGTGAGCCAAGAGCAGCAGGCAATGCTATTTTTTCAGGTTTTCACATGTTAAAATAGAAGCCAGCGTGTTTTGTACAGCCCCGAGATATTTCACAAGTCAAAGGGGAACACAGGTGCAAACATGCTGCCTCTCCTTTACCTGGTTGTGTTTGATGTCTTCAGCGGGCGCACCATATGAATTCCTGTACAAAGTGGAAATTCCAGTATTCTGAGCTGAAAGCAAAACGGAAACAAAAGTATCAGCAACGGAAGCAAGACGTCAAGGGAGGAAGGATGGTTCCTGGAGCCTCGTGGACCATGCCACATGGAAGAAATGCCCTGGCCCCGAACACTTCACTGTACATACAGTGATTAAGAAAGGAGAACAGTTATTCTATAAAATTCCCTGAACATGTCAGCCTCTTGCAGTAATGTTCAGCCTATAGACAGCGTCAGGGCAGGTGCAGTGGACAGACGGTCATCCTGCCGGCTCCACTGCCTTCTGTGCTGGTGAAAACTGAGGGATAATAAAAGCTTGTCCCCTGCATTGAAGCATGCCGGCATCCGGACTAGCCGCTTAGTTTTTAGCTGGAGAAGGACAAGGATGAAATTTCTAATTTGGGCACACAGAAGTGCTTGATTACCTCTGAGACAGTTCATTTCTCAAAGGCCTGAAGGATGGGCAGGAAGCAGCGCCTGCCTTTGCCCTGTGTGTCTGGGCAGCTGCAGCTCTGGAATCCTGTTCAGCACAGAGACGGAAGCCCCCCACTCTGTCCCGTGACCAGCCAGGGGTCTGGAGGAAAGGAAGAAAGGTCTCTAGTTGCCAGCAGCTTCCAAAGTCCTGGGAAAGGTGCCCGCCTGCCAGCGTTCTCGCCTGTAGCCCTCGAGCCTCCTGCAGTAGGCCCAGAGGGAGGGCCAGGGCAAGACTCCCGCAGAGCTGCTAAAGGGCGTGGTTTAAGAAAGCTCTGGAAAATACTGCCGAGGGTCATCGGGTCTAAAACACTCTAGATATCAAGAAAACTTCTCGTTTGCTTCCAGTATCTATGGGATCATGAAATAGGAGAACACACCAACTATTCTCACACAGATACAGGCCACTCTAGACACCAAGTCAGTATAATCTCTCATTCCACCCATGATTGTTACTAAAAGCACATCATAGCTGGGCAATAAAACTCCTCTTGGGAAATTTTGCTTAGAACGGAGAGCTGAGAGCCCATTTTCCATTTAAAAGACCACTCTTGCAGACTCTGGCTGTAAGCACATCACTTCTGTCTCCGCATTACTGTGGAAACTCCCATCCCTTGCCTGGGCCACCACGGTACCGTCCTCCTCAACAGCCTGGCTTCCACGCTGCCCAACCTCGACCCTGCGTCCATCTCGCTCCCAACAGCTGAGGGATCATCTCACTAGACAGACTGGATTATGCCCCTCCAGCGCCCTGCCCGCCGTGATTATGGTAAAAGTCAAGCGCCCGTTACGGTCCCTGAGGCTCCGTGGGATCGGGCCTCTGCCTGACTTCCTGCGGCATCTCGGGCTCTTCTTCCCTCGTGCAGGGAGCTCTGGCTGTGCTGGCCCTCCTTCCTGGCTTGAGCGTCCACGTTCGCTTCACCGCAGGGACGGTGGACTTGGCTGATTCTTCTGCCTGGAACTTGCTTCCTCGGACTCTGGACTGCCTCTCCTTGCTGGTATTCGAGTTTCAGCTCAAATTTCTCCCCTTTGACCATGTTAGTTAGGGTAACCCCGCCCACCTGGCGCCCTTTACCTCGTTGCCCCGTTTGTTTCCTCTGTCACATTCAACGCCCGGTGCTGTTACCTTCAGCAAGTTTGTTCTATTGTTTACCGTGTGTGTTACCCCCCTTCACCTGCGAGACAAGCAGCTCCACGAGGACAGAGACTGGCGTGTCCTGCCGCCTCTGCAGGCTTCCCCAGCACCTGGGACAGTGCCCGGCCTCGGGGGGTGCTCAGAGTGAATGCTTTACTTGCTGAGTGAATGAATGAATGAGTCAGCCTTAGAAAGATCTGCCTTCAGAACTAGAATTCTAATGCTGATGGAAGATGTCACTTCAAGGACAAGGTGAAGTGCTTCCCCCGTTACTCAGAATAACATGCATTTTTTTTTGATAGAATGTGATTATAGCCTTGGCCTCCCTCCCCGCCGTGCTTGTGGCTTCTGAGCTAAAAATGTTTCTGCTGGAAGTTCTCTCCTCCTGCTCTTTGGTGCACTTCGCCTATTTAAAGGAGACTGTGGAGCTGAGATTGACCTGGGGCCTTTGCAGACACAGGAAGCTGATGTCTTCACGGATGCTCTGCCCCCTGTACGTCCGCCCTAAGAGTAGACTCAGAGAAATGCCTTTCTGTTTTTGTCTAGGCCCCAATTTCCGACTGAATCAACATACTGAAGATTAAAATGGCTTTAAAAGGCATAAGAGAGACACTGACAAAGACAGAATAGACCACTGGGTGGAAAGGCATTTGGGAAGCTCAGCTGGGAGGGCAAATTCCCCAGGTGAATTTTCAAGTCAGGCTGTGGAGCCGCCGGGCTCACACGCCCTCCTGTCACACGTGCTTCTGAACACGTCGTGTTCTGGGGAATCACGACCCCCAGAAGCTCTGTAACGGCCCTGCATGCCTGAATGGACAGCTGATGCGGGCTTTCTGAGGACTCCTCGGCGGCAGAGAAACGCTACGGAGAGAAGACATTTTAAGAGACTCCATCTAAGCTAGAAAGTGAATACAGAAAAGATTGGTGGGGGTGGTGGGGAGGAAGACTGGAATAAAAACCTCAAAAGATCTGCATTTCTAAGAGCTCGAGAAGGAGATTATGACCCAAGCAAGGACCTGCTTTTCACTTCAAAGCTTTTGCAAGTTGCATTCTGAGGGCGAAAGTCTCTCATGGTTTTCCCACAGCAGAGGGAGTGCTTCCTTTGGGGGACACGGTAGGCCATCCTCTGATGCCTGAGAAGCAAGGAAGATGGCAGTTTTTCAGCTATTTTTCAATGTGCTGAACTTTAAGTGTCCCCTGTTTTGGTGAGTGAGGAAAAGTACTGCTTTTGATGCGGAAGTCAGAAGAAATTTGATCTGAGAGTAAACGCTTGTATCATGGGCATTTGCTGAAGTGCTGCAGAGTAGGGGCTGCAATCCATCATTTTCATTCCCATGTGGAATGTCGGCTTCCACTCGGCTTGGCTGCGGACTTGCTCATACTGCCGCAGAAGGGGACAAACACACCCACCGGTCTCACCGCCAACACCATTATCTCTGCTACCCGCACTCCTAATACCCCTCCCATCACCACCTCCATCACCACCACCATCACCTCCTCCATCACCTCCACCATCACCTCCTCCATTACCACCACCATCACCTCCATCACCACCACCATCACCACAATCACCACCACCATCACCTCCATCACCACCACCACCATCGTCTCCTCCATCACCACCACTATCACAATCACCACCACCATCACCTCCATCAGCACCACCATCAATCCACCACCATCATCTCCTCCATCACCAGCACCAGCCCCATCACCAGCACCACCAGCACCATCACTGTGAGAATAACAACTAACTTTTACACGGAACTCGTCGGCTTACAGGGAACCTTCCTGTATAAAAATATTATTCAGTAACAATCTCAATGTTCTTCTAAGCTTGCCACCTGACTGATAGTGGAGTTTTGAATTGTATGTTGAAGTAAGTTAGAGAAAAGCATTTAAACCTCTAAGTAAGTTTGAAAAAATTACACAGATCTCAATATGGGGGCTGTCAAGGTCCCTTCCATTTACTAGGAAGATTAAATATCTGGAAACATGCTAGATTTTATTTTTTATTTTGTGATGCGTGTAGGGCCTGATCATGTAGCATTGGAACTATTTCAGCATAAACACACCCACACTGAAAAGCCTCCTGAATAATTCTACTTGGTAAGAGAGTTACAGAGAAAAGATAAACTTAAATAATAACAATACAGTCTATTTCACAATTACTCTTGTAATTATATTTTCAATTTCTCTTCCCAGCCTGCCGGTGATGTGGCTACCTAGGGCGGTAATAATCGAGAAATGAATGGGTCAGGTGAATTTGGTGTCACCATGGCTCCGGAATAATCAGTACAAATTGGATTCTAAATGGCTCAACACTAGGGACTCGTTATTCAGATTCATAACCTTCTTTGTTCGTGTTCGTCTACAACGGGGGCAACATTTACGGGGGAACTAGAACCCGAGCATGAGAGCCCTAAGGTGTGTCCCACACGATGAGCTCAGCTTTCCCACAGGCATGGGGTGAGGCGTTGCCTGGTGGAGGGAGTGTGCACTGAGCTGGGGGTGGGGACCACAAGCACCTGTTTGCAATGTTTCTCTTTACGCAGCCAGGTAGAGGCACCACGGAAAACACTGCCTCCGAGGTCAACAACACAGTTACCATTAGAGAAATGTATCGTAGACATCCTGGGCCTGGAAGGCATCTTAATGTATCACCCAGTTTGTCTCTTTTACTTCCCTGCAGGTCTACGTCTAAACAATATCAGAGAAATGCACTTTCTGCCTTTAAGATTCTCCTGATAAGAGGGTCTCAGTGTCGTTAAGGTTTGTACCCCTTATGTACCCCAGTTTTATGAATGCCCTAATCTGGCCCTGTTCTGTTGAAGTCCTCATGGCCTATTTTTCAGGCGGGCCCATCTCCACATCCCTGTGGCAAAGGAGGGTGTGGCGCCCCCCTTCAGAGGTCCTGACAGTTCTGGCAGCGGCTTTCAAGGTGTAATTCCCCCTACATCAACACCGCCAGGCCCTGCTTCTCGGAGGAGGGGCAAGCCAGGATGGGAGGGAGGAGTGTGGGGAGCCTGGAGGGGACGATGACTGTGGACATCGAGCCCCACCCCAAGGAGAGCTGCGGAGAGTGCGAGGAGAGCTGAGGGCAAGGCTGGCTATCAGGCAGGCTGGGCTGGGCACGCTCGGTGGCAAGGGTGCCAGTTTTGGCCTCCATAGAATCCCAGCTGATGAGAGAGGAGAGACAATGGGTGTGTGTGTGTGGAGGGGAGGATGAAGGGCATGAAAGGTCAATGGCTCCTTAGGGAAACTGAGGTCTGCGTTTCTAATGAATCTTCCAGGGAGTTAGTCTGTCAAGGCAAAAGGTTGGTTTCATGTCAAGAGGAGAAAACACCTCAATAGCAGGTCTACGAATCTCCTGAAGCCCTCTTGCCTGGCTCCTCTCCCCTCCTTTTCTCATGCTCTTTCTCTTCCCCCTTCCTAATGGGCAAAGCATGGTTCCATGGCACCTGCTGCCCTGGGTTACGCCAATGAAGACGAAATCTCTGGTGGCCTCTTCCTCTAACTTGAGAGACTGTCATGAGCCGGGCAAGGGAGAAGGAAAGGGGAAGGGAAAGAAAGACTGAGGAGAAAGTGTATGTAGAGAACATTTTCTCTTAGCGATTTCAGGAATAAGACGCTCCACTGTGACACTGCTGGCTTCATCCCCTCATCTCCAGTCCCTGGGCATCTTGGCCGTCAGCCCTACGAGCTGCCAAGCATGGCTGAAGCCCCAGGTGCCAGCCCTCCGCCCTGTCCCAGGACAGGTCACCAGCCCGGAGGAGGACTGACCCGCACACGGCTGAGCTCACCTGTCATGGTGTCTTTCCTGGAAGTGTGTTCTCCTTTAGGTCCGTGGTAAGTGGCGTTGCTGCCAGTGGACTCATAGTCCGTTTTCCTTTCTTTGAGGCTGATCATTTCCCGAGGTGAAGCTGGGGCACTTGCTACGTAAAGAAATCGAAAGGGTGACTTTCAGCATCTCATGCCACAGCACGCGGAGCTTTTCACACAAACAGTAAAGTCAGAAGTGCACCTGGCTCGGCAAATATCACCATGTGCACGCGCACCTGCCAGGTTTCACCTTTGTTCCTTTGTCCCTGGTCTTTCCCCTCCTGCCCTTCCTCCATGTCACCTGGAGCTTTACAGTTAAGGGGACACACACTTGGAGGCAGGGAACTAAGTACGGGCTGTATCCTGGGGCCATCTGCCTTAGACAGACATCCTTGTGGGCATGTGACCCACTCAAGGTGTACGGGACAGTTTTAAGAATGAGATCCATCTTGGTTTCTGTGTTTCTCTTTCTCTCTCTTTTCTTTGCTTTCCCCTCCCTCCCTTTTCTTCCTTCTTTCCTTCTTCCTTCCTTCTTTAAACTTTAGATACGTTTTAGAGCTGCTATTATGGATATCGAAGAACCCCGATTAAAAGAGATGCAGCTTTACTTAAATATTGAGTCTTGCTGAAACTGCCCTAAAGGGAGGCAGAGGAAGCAAGTCTCCCCAGAGAAAGATTTGTGGGACCAAAATCACTCTGTCTGCCAAGGTCTCCCTTAGCCTGCAGGGGGTGGGCCGGGGGCACGCCCTTCTCCTGAGGCATACCCTTGCCCCAGCTCAAATGCCCCAACCGTCTCTCACACACACCTTGCACCCCGGCCACTCGCTGCCTGTCGGACCTGGGGAATGAGCCCGTTCAACCCTGTGTTTTCATTTCTAAAATGATGGGTCGTAATTAGAGGATTCCCCTGGGAATTCCATGATTCTTTAATATACTGGTGCCAGAACAGAGAAAAATCTGAATTTGGAGGTAAGGAAGCAAACAAGAAGAGGTCTGGTTTTCTTAGAAGAGTGGGTGGATCGGGAGCAACTCAACGGCCCTGCCAATGCAGATGTCGGGGGGAGTGGAGGGGAAGCGTGTGCGCGCAGCGGGGCGGCGAGCCGTGCGGCCCTCCCACTGCTGTCCTCACACTGCCCGCCGGGCTCCTCAGGGATGCCACCCACATCCCGAGCTTGGCCAACTGCATCTCTCTCAGTCTGAGCTTGGGCGTGGTTCCCTTCTGCCCAAGCCCTCCCCAGCTTCCGTGCTTCATGAACTTATGTAACCTTTAGACTCATCTGAGAACCTGGGGATTTCAAAATCCCATCCCAGACCATTTGAATCTGAATTTTCAGTGGATGGGCCTCGTAGTCCAAGCATCCTTGGTGATTATTAAGGCTGGGCAATCTCTGGGGAACTCTAATTGTTAGGATAAAGCTCTCTTCCCTTTGTTAGTACCCAAGCCCCCCTCCGATCAAGCCTTGGTTTACCTTTCAGCTCATCACTCACCCCCTTGGCGGGGTCCCCGGCTCCAGCCCCTCGGCCTGCTCACTCCCTGTCTGAGTCACTTGATTCATGTCATCAAACTTAGCATCTTCTATGTGCAGAGCCCCGTGCCAGGCAGCGGGGACAGAAACACGAGTCACAGCACACTTGCTGAACTTGAGAAGCTCTTAATCGTGTGAGGAAATGAAGCCAGAATAAGAGGCAGGTGGCTCAGCGGATGTCACAGCCAAGTGCTGGGATGGTAACAGAGGGGCCTTTGCCCATCCTGTCCTGAAAGGCCCCCTGCCCACCTCTCAGACCTGTCCAGTGAAATCGAGGCTCACTGCTCAGCTCTTGAAACCCTCGGAGGCTTCCAATCCTGGCTGCCCTTCAGAATTAATTACCTGGAATACTTAAAAAATATACTGACGCTTGAACCACACCCCCTCTCTGCTCTAACCAGTTGGACCAGAAACTCTGGGTGTAAATCCAATGGAAAGACAGGGAAGAAATCTGCAGTTGCTCCACGTGACTCAGCTGGGCCTGGCTTCGGTTCCATGTGTTCTCAGAGCATGGGCTGCGCCTCGCTCCCTCCACCCTCTGCCCCGTCTCCTCTCTTGTCTCTCCATCCTCCTCTCCAGAGAAGGTCGCCTCCTGCCCTCGCTCCTCTGCTCCTAGGTCTTCTGTATAGGGCTGGCCCTTTAGGAGTCACTGCCAGGCAATCACGAAGGGACATTTTGGAGCCTCTTGACCAAAGCTGTTAAAGTTAGAACCTAATCTGGCACAGATGGTGGGGCTCACTAAGCTACGTCGCGTGTAGAATTATCTCCTGAGACGTCAAACGTGGGGGTCCGAGTCTCCGGTAAACCAGGACGCTACTCCTGGAAAAATCAAGCCACACAAGAGCCTCAGGTGTCTCTGATGTGCCTCGCCCAGGAACCAGCAGGCAGCGCCCCAGCTGCGTGGCGGGGGTGCTGACAGCCTGAAACGGGGCTATTTCTCCTTCTGGGTGTCCTCCAGCTTTCCATCATTCTGTCTTCCTAACACTGACTGGTTCTTCATAACTGGAGCTTTGAAAAAGACACCATCCTTGTGTTTAACAGACTCACTGCTCTTTATCTTTTTAAGAATTACGGAGATAAGACGTGTAAAGGCCCCTCCACGCCGCTGAGGCAGGTGGAGGTTTCTCCAAGTACTTGGGGGGGTCCTAGTTCTCGTTCAGTGTGGGGCCAAATGTTTCAAGCAATGATAACACCACGCTACAGGTAAAAGCTTTCATGGGGCTGGGAGAGTGCCACGTATTTCAGTCAAATATCACCATTCACATTTCATTCCCCCATCGTTTGACAGTAAAGTGTGGTGTCAAGTTTTATGACAAACGTCCTCCAAGGCAGACAGGTCACCCTGCTGGGGCGTCTTCTGTACCATGTCCTCTAAGATGCAGTTCCAGAAAATACTGTTTCCTCTGCAGGAGGAGGACAGCGGGGAGCAAGGAGAAACCTTTCTGAAATCAAAGCCTCTGTCAGTGTGTGTGTGTGTGTGTGTGTGTGGTATACATATATTTATCCATCCTTCCTTCTCATAGTAAAAACCAAAATGCAGACATCAAGAAAAGAGTTTTAAAAACTTACACATTAAATAAAATAACAATAAAATCTATGCCACTTGTGTGCTCAATGACGTGCTCATATTCTGCCTTTCATTATTTGTTTAATCTTTGCTATTACATAATGTGAATGGAAAAGGGCGTAAAAATCAGGTATCTTTACAAATAGATAAGAAAAGTTAGTTCAAAATTTAAGCGTGATGGGGAAGGGTGTAGCTCAAGTGTAGAGTGCGCACGTAGCATGCACAAGGTCCCGGGTTCAACCCCCAGTCCCTCCATTTAAAAATAAATAAATAAACAGACCTAATTACCACCGCCCCCCCAAAATTTTAAGCAATGAGACAAGGGAAGAGGGGCAACATAAGGGCAGGGGGTTAGGAGGTATAAACTATTATGTATAAAATAAGCCACAAGAAAATATTGCACAACACAGAATATAGTTAATATTCTCTAACAACTATTAACGGAGTATGGTCTTTAAAAACTGTGAATCACTATATTGTGCACTTGTAACTTATACAATATTTTACATCAACTATACTTCAATTCAAATTTTTTTAAAGAATGAGAAAAAATTTTAAAAAACGAATTAAATGATTTAAAAGTTACAGCTGGTTGTAATATAAATGCATGAATGATTTATCTGCTGGTGTACAGGTAATAATAAAATGCAAATCAGGTGTGGAACAGAAATGGAAGTCTCAATGACAGGCTTCAAATGTGTGTCATTCACAGGGAGGAAAGGGCACGCCTTCTCTGCCCTGCTGTGTTACCCCAATTATAAACAATAAAACGCAGCCCAGACTATCTTAAGTTGGAGACAACGTCCATGGAAAAGCCTGACTCGCAGTCACTTGGTGGTTTTATGTACTCTTGTGTCTCCCTGAACGCAGGTCCAGGATGCGCATTTGACGCGTAAGACACCTGCTAGACACGTTTAGAAATCTGTTAGAAAGTAGCTCGCTCTGAGTCTGTGTAAACATAACACAAAGTCGCCACCACTACAGAAGGAAAAGACGGCCATCTGATACTTCTAGCAAATGTCCTCTTCTCCGTGGGGTGAGCTAAGGGGCTGGGGAGGGGGGCTTGGACCCAAGGGAGGCGGCACCTCTTACCTGAGCGGTTGTTGGGAGACACGCGCACAGGGGAGATGGAGGGCGTGCGGGAGGAGGAGTAGGGTCTTTGCCGATCCCTCTCGATCGTTGAAGACGAGGCTACGAAGTGATACTGGGACCATCCATCCTGCAACAGACAGCATGCTCCTGTTTAGTGGGGAAGGCAGAGCGATTCCTCACCTCCTGACGTCGAAGTTCCAAGCATTTGAATTTGCAAAACATTTCTCCAATCTGTCAAGAGAGATCTTGGATCTCTGTTCCGTCATCCAGGTTAACAGCGAGGAGCGCGAATGGAGACCCACCTCCTGCTGCTCCCTCCAGACAGCCTGACAGGGGGTAGACCTGCCTGCCTCCCCAGGTGAGGAATAAATGGTCTCTCTGAAAATCTGCTTTGGCCTGAGGATTTCATTTAAATGAAAATATGATACTCAGAATGACCCTGAAATTGTCTATTTTTGGCCTGCCTGGCTCCAGCTATCTGGACTCTTACTCTTTTGTTCCTGGGACTGATCTGCTAGTGATCATAATGCCGAGAAGCACCCTCCCTTCCACTCTGTTCCCCTTACGTTGTTCCAAGCCTCCTCCTCTGCCTCTAATGCCCCACCCCCACTGGTCCAAGGCCTTCAGCATGACTGTCCCTGAGGATATGCACCTGGGTTGCCATGTCCCTTAATTTCCCCTGGAATTATATTTTCAATTTAGAGCATATTCAGAACGCATCCTGTTAACTAATCCTCCATTCGCCTTCCCATATCTGCTTAATATATGAAAAGCATATATACTATTTTTCATTGTGAAAATCACCGAAATAGATTATGGGTCATTTTGCGAATTTAGAAAGCACTAAAAAAAATAAAAATAGCCAATGAATCCACCCTTCTCCTCCCTGGAGAACTCAGGTTAAGCCGTCACGGAATTTCCTTCCAGTCCTTTTTCTTTTTTAACTCGTTTATTTTTATCAAAGCAACGTGCGAAACAGTACTGACATTATAGCAAGGGAAAGCAGACACCGCCTCGGCCCTAATTCCTGCCTCACAGGGCGGCCATTTCCAACTCCACAGGCTGCTTCTTTTTCTGAGAATACCTAGGCTTCTAAGGGACTCAAGGCTCCACAAAGAATCACTACAAATACAAATAGATGAAAGTTAATGAAGAACAAAATTCATACTCATTTCAATATTTGTGTCTTTCTTTATCTAATTCTCATTGTTCCTATTCTAGTCGACTGGCAGGATAAAGCCAAGATTAGAAGAAAGCGATTTTAAAAGCTAGTGCTTACTGAATACTTACTATGTGGCAAGATTTTCTTAACAATCCCATGGGCTGGATACTATTATGAGCCCCATTTTACAGAGGAAGCATCTGAGTTTAGAAAGTAAATGGATCAAAGTCAAACAGTAAACAAGCAAAGAATCATGTTAATACTAAAATGTGGCAGGCTGATGAATACTTGAAGCATAAAGCAAAACGGGGGGACTGAGGGGTGTGGGGGGAGGGGAGACTGTTGGCCTCGCTAGTTGATGGCGTGTGGTTGGGCAAGTGCCCTGGGAACAGTTAATGTTGTGGCAGGGACCCGGCAGACGACGAGAAGCCAGACACTGAAGACACAGGCTAGGGCTCCCAAGTCAAGAGGAGAGCAGATGTGAGGCTGTGGGGTGGGATGGGGCTTGGCTCACGTGGGAGCAACAGAAAGTTCCTGTGACTGAAGACGAGGGGGGACCAGGAAGACAAGGAGCCTTCTGGGTGTCTAGGACAGTTTGGGGACAGTAGAATAGAAACAGGGTGACTGGTTAAGAAGCTATTCCACGAGAGACTGAGGATATGACCCTGGCTTGGGTGGCGGCTGGTGGTGAGTCATGGGCAGATTTGGCATCTCTGTTGCAAGGCCTTGCTGATGTCTCTGCTGTTGGATGCGGGAGAGATGAGGCAGGCCTGACCCTCATGCTGCTGGTGTGACCATGGGGACTGGGGGTGCCATTGACTGAGACTGAGGACACTGGAAGATAAATGTTCCTAGGAAGTGAGATCGATACTGCCATGTGGGACATGTTGGGTTAGAGATGCCTGTTGGCAAAGACGGAGGATAAAGGAGAATCTGAAAATTGGAATTTCAGGAGTGACGTCAGAGCTAGAGGTAAAATTTTGGGAGTTCGGTACACAGACATCATTTAAAGCTAAAAGAAGGGATGGAAGCTTTGCACATGAACACAAATAGAGGAAAGCAGAGGACACAGGGCTAAGCCCTGGGTCACTCCAATATTTAGAGGGTGTGGGGAGCAGGAGAAAATTCAAATGAGACGGAGAAGGAACAGAGTGAGCTGGGAGCAGAACCAGAAGGGTGTGATGTCGGGCGAGATCAGAAAAGGAGATGCATTAGGGAGCAGAAGGCTGAATGATAAGGGGGACCAAGAACAGACCACTGGTCTTGGGAAGATGTTAATCAACGTGAAGGGGACAAGAGTCCTTTCTTTGGTCAGGTTGGTAAATCTCTGACTCAGCTAGGCTCCAAAGATAGCAAGAATTGATAAAGGGGGAATGGTGAGCACAGACAGCCTTTGGCAAAGGCTTATTTATTAAGGGGAGCAGAGAAATGGGGCTTGAAGAGATAGAACAACCGGGAGATGTTTTAATATATCACCGGGAAGAGATTGCGGCATTTTGGATGCTGATGGGAATGACTCAATATAGAGGAGGAAAAACCGGTGATGCAGGAGAAAAAGAAAAATTTCTTAAGAAAGGAGAGGTTGATAGGATTCAGTGAACAGTAGGGTCATTGGCCATGGAAACAGGAGGGAAGGCAGACAGGCTGAACAGCCACAGACGCAGCGAGGAGATGGGTTGATCTGGTGACGGGATGATGAGGACGTCCTGTTCTGTTTTCTTACATTTTTGGGAGGGTGGTGGCGGTGAGAAGTGAGGTCATCTGCTGAGGATGAGACAGAGTTGGAGTTTAGAGGCTGGAAGAGGAGAGAGGAAGGGAGGGAAGGGGAAAGGAGAGAGGAAGAAGAGAAAGTGTGAAACGATTCTTGAGGTAAGTGGGAGCAAGTTGACCTTGGCCAGGTGGTCCAGGGGCCAGGTGCTGAGAGGAGACTGGAGGCTTGTGGCAATGAATTCAAAACGAGAAGGCTGGTCACCAGGGTGGCTTGTATTCCCCCAGCTACATTCAGCTGCTCTGGGGGCAGGAATTGGGTAGATGGAAGTGGTTGGGGTTGGTCAGGGAAATAAGTTGGAAGGAGACAAGGACAAGGGAGTGCAAAGGGCAGGTGGGGGAAACCCACAGAGTCTATGGTGGGCAGAGAGGAAGGTGAAGATGTGGGGAGGGGATGGAGGATCCACAAAGCGTCACAGACTGTGGGGGTGGGGCCACTTCACAGATGCTAGGGGTTTCCTCGAGGGAGGAGAGAGGAGAACTTTCTGGAAAGAGCAGAGGAGCAAGGAGGACACCTACTCCACCTCCCAGCCTAGTGAGGTGGGGGAGGGGTGGGAAGCGAACCGGCCACCACTTGAGAGGGCTGCAGGGGGTCGGGGGGGCTGTCCTCAGATGTCAGAGCAACAAGACTAAAAACGAAGGTGTGGGTGGTAGAGATGGGGGATTTTAAAAGGGGGAGAGGACGGGAGGGAGTAGGGAGAGGTGGACTACTGGGGTAGATTACTGGTCATTTAGAGCCTCTGAGTGAGAAGAGTCCAGAAACAAAGGCCGACCCAGGCGTCTTGGGCAGTTGGTGGTGACGGAGGTGAGGAGGGACTAAGAGCAAACAGCCACCACCTCCTGAGGGGAAGGCGGGAGCCGTGGGAAGAGGCAGGGGCCAGGGCGGGAGGCGAGAACGGACAGTCTCTGCTGGAGCTCTGAGCATCTCCCTTCAGTCCTCCGGGGGCGCGGCCGCGGCAAGGACAGGGGAGGGGCAATCTTCTAAAAGCACGTCTCGCGTTTCCGAAGTGCAAGGACCCGTGACGCAGGTATGGGAACAATTTTAAAAAGTGTTTGAAAAAGATATTCCTTTCTTTTGAAGGGAATGCTTTGTTGACAGCAAAAATCCTTAAATACGACCAAACAGAGGCAGGTCATTTTACGTCTGCCTCACTTGCAGTTTAGAAGGTTTACTTTGGGTGGGTGGGGTTCCAGGCAGTGGCCCAGGAAGTGGCGACTTCTCTGGTCGTGAATGAGTAATGATAATCCGTATGTCATTAAAGGAAGGCAAGGTATTTCACAGTAGGAATATCGGCTAATGCCTGATGGGTGTTCTGAGACCCAGGAGACACCAGACGTGAATGAGGCACGACTCTCAGTCCGGTTTTACTTGGCGAGTAGCGCTGGGTTAGCCAGCATCTCACTCTTACCCAGGTGACCGGAGATGTTTGCTCGGCAGTTCAGGATTCAGGATGCTTAGATTCCGTTGGGACCACGCAAATATTTACATCCCTGGAAGTGTCAGGAGAGTGGATGTAATAATAAAACTGCTTATGAAGGAATGAACTCATAAAAAGCACCAAAAAAAGCTTTCAAATCCTTCATGAGACCCATTTCTGAGAATGCAGACGTGTGACAGAATGAGTCTCTGCAGGTGACTTGCCTGTGGGTGGTGGGATTAGCGCACACCTGGGGATGATAAGGAGTGTGTTAGAGGCACCGAGGGGGCTGCCAGGAGCCCGACCCCTCTGCTTCGGGCCAGTGATTACACGCATGCGCACAGGATCTCTGCCTGGGGGATGAGGGCGGGGCTTAGGGAACGGCGCAGCGTGGAAACCCAGTTAAGGGTCTGGATTAGAGCAGTTTCCTGAGCCACAGCTTGGGAGATCCTGGAGGAGCAAGGAGAGGTAGCTGGTTATCTCCATCTCTATCCCTCCCTTTATGGACTGATGCACAGTGAAAGGTGTGATGATCAAAACAAAGAACTCCAAAACTGCTACATTCACCTGTGCCTGCAAGGGACCTCAGTTTTAATTCTGACGGCACCTACCTCCAAACATAACCGGGAACAATATAACCTTTTTTCAGTTATGCTGAATAACTACTCGAAGATGGATCTCATGACCGACCCTCTCCATCTTTCGCTGCACTGAAAGTTTTAGTCATTTAACGGAAAAAAAAATGGTTTTCTTTCTAAAGAAGAAGGAACATGAAGGTAT